AGCAGGGCACTGAACTATGAGAAGAGACAGAGTGCCTGGCTACATATTTAAGAGATACATTTATGTCAAAGCTAAATCCAAATTGTTAGTAAGCAGTCAAATAACTATGGTTTAGTTTTTAAGTTACTGGAATTATCATGCAAACACATCACTTTCTCACTATACTGCTTTCACTGTAGAATGCTTCCTTTACCAGAAGCAAAAACATTCAAACGTGCATGAGACAGAATCCATACAAAGTTGTTAACTATTACACCTCTACCTCGATATAACGCTGTCCTCGGGAGCCAAAAAATCTTACTGCATTATAGGTGAAACCACGTTATATTGAACTTGCTTTGATCCACCGGAGTGCGCAGCCCCCCCCCCGCCCCGAAGCACTGCTTTACCGCGTTATATCCGAATTTGTGTTATATCCGGTTGCGTTATATCGAGGTAGCAGCGTATTTGAATTGTTTTACACTGAAGTTGATACATTAACTCCTACTTTGACAGCATCTCTTTAAAGCAACACTGTTAAATCTAATCAACTGCAAGATGTGAAATAATTCACTGCCAGTATTGTAACTTGACTTTTTGTTTGTTTCTCTCCTCTATGGCCACATAAAAGGCCAACCACATACAAAATAAATTCACTGACTCTACAAAGAAAACAGTATGACTGACCACATGCACTATTATCAAATACAAGATGTATGCAAATGGGGGGGGGGGAATTAATTTTTTTCAGTGATAAAAACCTTAGTTATTTATATCAATCGTACATAAGACTTCAGACAGAAGATTTTTTTTTAAGGTCTGCCACTTTGAATCAAAAGCAAAATTAAACCAAGAGTTGAAAAATTGAGATTTATAAAACAATCCAGTTGCTTAGTAAAACGCTCTGCGTGTGTACTAAACTGGGGAAGAGATTAAAATAAAATCTATTAGCCCCAAAACAGTGGTAAACTAGCCACAGTAGATAACAGAACTTCTGACTTTAAGCTTTCATTAAAATTGTTTCTAGACTTTAAGGTCATGAAAATAACCCAAATATAAACAGAATGTAAACAAATGAAGCAGAGTGATCTTCCTGCATCTGCTGGTAGACTACAGCAATGCCCCTTCAACTGCTTGGTAACTTTACCAAGCAGTAGCAGGATGAAATTAACAAGTTCTAGCCAGTTGCACAAATACAATTCAGAGCCTTGCTGGCAGCAGTGCAACTGTCAAGAGTGTCAGTTTCATGCTGCTGCAGTTAAGAGATAGGAGCAGCAGCAGAGAAAGGCAAAGAAACTATTCACTGAAGGACCCCATAAAAGAGAAGATGCAGTAGGCATGTAGTATAAGCATCTCCCCAGATCCTCCACTTCAGAGCTGGCTAAGCAGGAGGGAGTAAAGCAAGGCTTAGGCTACGTCCTCACTACAGCGGGGGTGGGGTGGGGGGGTGGATTTAAGATATGCAAATTCAGCTACGTCAATAGCGTAGCTGAATTCGACATATCCGAGCCAACTTACCCCGCTGTGAGGACGGCGGCAAATCGACCTCCGCGGCTCCCCCATCGATGGCGCTTACTCCTACCTGCGCTGGTGGAGTACAAGCGTCGATTCGGGGATCGATTGTCGCATCCTGACGAGATGCGATAATTCGATCCCCGAGAAATCGATTTCTACCCGCCGATTCAGGCGGGTAGTGTAGACGTAGCCTTAGTCTACTCTAGAAGTTTGCCCGTACAGCTATACAGCAAACCCACCTAGTGTAGATGCAGCTTAGACCAGCAAAAACATTCTTACTTCTATAGTAAAATGCATTTCTTGACCAAAATAAAAACAAATTAAAATAATTTTAAATAGACTTGGCAGAATTTGATATTTATATATTTTCCATGAATAATATCATTGTTCGATTTTAAGCCTTTTTTTCTGATTTTTATTTAGATGTTCACAGTTGTGGAACATTGGGGGAGGAAGTCAGACAATTATTTAATGACATGATGAGATTCAAAAAGTAAAAGCTTTATAATTTAAAACAAATTATTACATCAAAATATACAAAGGAAATATCCTTAGAACTCTAAAGTTCTCAAGCAGCATGTTTCTTATTTTGTCTCGCTGTACATTTCAAGTATTATCCAGGGAAATTATTTTTTCAGCAGTTTGTGTGAAATTGACATTTACTGACATTAACCAATAAAAATCAAATCCTTACAATGCTGATTATATCCTTCCTGTACAACTATTTTTGTCTTCCTTATTTTGGATCTTTGTTGCACAATAGTCACTGCAAGTGGAGAGAAATGCTTATGGTTTATTAAAACTTTACAGTTCAGGCAAAGAAAGATGCCTAGCACTAACAGCACCAATTATTAACTGCTGTAAAGATCAATTAGATCTTGTAGCACTTATGAAAAGCAACAGATGGCAAAGAGTGGGACACTACAACAATAAAGACAAAGGGGGTGTTTTTTGCTCAGATTGCTTCGCCCCATACTCCCTTCAAATTAACAGAATTTACACTTAGGGATATTACAAGTATGTTAGAAGTAATATTATAGCATCTTAAAGTGCACAATTGCATTTATCTTACATTTTTTCATGTAACTTTTTATAAGCCTTAAAAAATATATGTTTTAAGATGTTAAGTACCATTTGAAATCTTTTGTACACTAACCAAAACCATCTACATTTACCAGGTTTCATAACACACACCAGGCCCAATGCTAAGAACACTCAAGCATTGCCCCTCAAAGCTCTAAAATATATAGCCATACAAAACTGCAGGAATCTAATATTCCTATCCAGTGATAAGTAGATTTCAAGTACAGATGGAAAAGGCAATTTGAAAGGGAATATATGAAATGTGATCCTGCAGGTTTACATTTCAGGGGAAGAGCCAAGCCTGTCTCCAAGGCATAGGTAATTCTGAAGATAGAAGTTTTCTATTAACAAATATTGGATACCCCATTATCTGTTCCTCTTTTTTCCTTAAAATTACAAAGCCAAATGATACAAACTATTTGTTTAAAATGAAGCTATTACCAAGCAAGCTGCTTCAATAAGTAGGGAAGCAGAAACCTGAGAGCCAAAAGTGAAAGAGCAGGTCAACCAGTTGGTCTCCTTTCTTAAACATGAAGCACTTTTTAATTAAAGATGATTGATTTACACAATAGGCACTGACAGAGATACAACTGTACAGACATTAGGTATGCAATTAGTTCAGTTACCATGGGGAGGAAAGATTGTACTGTGGTCAAATACACACATGCTGCCATGCCATTTTGTCTGCACCAAATTATACACATTCATCAAGAACGCAAGACATTGATAGCATCCGAATCTGACTGAAGACAGCTTATTTGAACACTTAATTTTTTTTTCTGCCTATGATTCTGGTGGAGAAGCAGCACAGGTGGAGACTCATCAGGACTCATACTGAACCAATGCTTTATCACCAAACAAGGTTCAAGGCCTTACAAATGGCTCTCAGAGGCCACTGGTCTCATAGGCACCTCTTTTGTACTACACGGTGCCATACAAAAAGAGTGCTAAGCAAATGGCCAAGAGCCTCTAGGCTGATTCTTATTCCTCTCTTGTGGACAAGAAAGTAAAATGAGAAGAGGAGTATTGGGCCAAATTCATCAAGGACATATCACCAATTAACACAAAGGATGAATTCGGGCCCCTTTGGTAAGAATTCCACAAAAATCACAATTATCAATTCTGACATGGCATTGTAATGAGGTGTCGATGCATGAAAATACTGCATTGTGGTGACAGTCATGACCCTCGAAATGAGCATGTTGTGGGTCTCCATGACTCCATTCACTGGGTGAAAAAAAACCCAGATCCAGCAATTGGATCCTGTAGGATCTATCCTATTTTGGCCCTCACCAGCCAAATTCTATGACATGAATGAAGTATGGCTGCTTCTATGGCACTAAACAAGTTCAGACCCCATTGCATCCCAGCACTCGAGCTTAGCTAAAATCTAGATCTGGCATCTGGAGCTTGGCAGTTTTCTGGCCAACACTGTACAACCTAAATAAAAATTTGTGTAACAACATTGGAAAAATCTGAATCCTGACACATCTCAGCCCAATAGCACTGGAGAAACAAAATCTTGTACCTGGATCCTGCTAATTTTTAACTCCAGTCCCCCAAATTCTACTCTCTAAACAAAACAAAAATAGCAGGTTCCAGTAGACCTTAAAAAAAAAAAAAAAAAAAAAAGTAGACCTTTTT